GGCGGCTTGGCAACCGCAGTTCGGCTTTGGTGATGTTTTAAAAGGGTCGCTGCTGCTCATCTTTCAAACATTAAATTCCATTATTCATCTGTTACGACACCCACGGGAAAGGAAGGATTGACCCATATGTCGGGACCACACGGCGAATTTTATAAGGTCTCATTTCAAATTTTTTGTAATATTTTATTATTTCACAAAATAATGTTAATTAATGTTAAAGATAATTAAATTTTTTTATATGTAACTTAGAATTACAAACAAGCCGACGGCCCACCTGATGGGAAGTGGTAACCGTCGCCTATAGACATGAGCAGTACCATGGACATATAAGAGTATACTATTTCGCCCATGATACCCCCCATGCGTTGCCATTCCTGAGGACTCAGGACTCAAATTTCATTTCTTTCGTATAAATACGAGTATGTTTATCTTATGATAGCTAATGTTGAAGGTCACAAATGAGATTAAAATTTACTTATATTAACATATTCAGGATACACCTGTGTGATATTGATTTTTTTTACGTAAACAAAGTTAAAGGCCTTTCTTTATTAACAAATTGCAGATCTTTTTGTGTCAAGTACGTGACAGACATATATACGTTTTTAGCTTTTGTTTGTTACGAGAGATCATGAGTAAACGTGCTCCTGATGACTGTAATTGTATGAGAGATATCATGGAAAATTGTTAAGGTATGTTTATAAGTGACAGTTACCATTTTATGACATCTCATAAAATGGTAGCTGTCATTTATAAACATTTTATACAGGGCATGAGATTATTTGCAATTTTTTTTATGGACGAATAAATTGGATTGAAAAGAAAGATATTGGAAGAAACAGGACTGTGCAGCATCCTATACTCAAATATCTATGCAATGAAAGAACACTAATAAATAAAGAAACAAAAAACAAGAAAACAGTAAAGAAGAAGTCAAGTAGATAAGAAGAAGTAAATAAATAAGTCAATTCACTAGAAATTGTATTGTTGATGATTTCCTATATGTACTGCATGGTTATCTAACTGACGAGATATTTTTTTTATACAACTTAGAATGGCATACAAGCTGACGGCCCACCTGATGTAAAGTGGTAACCGTCGCCTATAGACATGAGCAGTACCATGGACATAACAGAGTATACTGTTTCGCCCATGATACCCCCCATGCGTTGCCATTCCTGAGGACTCAGGTGTTATTCCTCTGTACCCAGTACATTCACACCATATCCCACCCTTCAAACCGAAACACAGCCATGCAAACACAACTGCTTCACGGTTGAAACACGAATGGGGCAGAGGTATCCAAGCAATCGACTTTTGTACAAAGTCTCCCTCCCTCCCTCCCTCCCTCAAAAAATCCCATTAATATTATAAATGGAAAAGTTTGTAACAATGGATGGATGGAGGGATGTTTGATACTCTTTCATGTAAAAACTTTTGAACGGATTTCAATGAAATTTGGTGTATGGGTAGGTTATATGGTATTCCAACTTCACACATTATACAATTACTGATTCATACGAGTAAAGCCGCGGGACACAGGTGGTAAATAATAAATGCTTTTGAATATAAAATTAGGCAGTGCATCCAGTGTACTAAATTAAGCAGAATTTATACCTATAGTACTATACCCAACTAAGAGAGACACTTAATTAGTTTTTTAACTAAATACATCGTTGCACAGAGAACAGACCTAGACAGACATACAATCAAACATTACTCATATATACAAATGTTTAAATTGTACAAGATACAAAACCCGCGGCCATTGAAAGATAAGACGAGAAGATTATTGGGGTTGCCCAATCGAAAGCCGAACGCTCTCTTATTTCACTAGGAATCTTAGGCTGTCTATCTTACCTACTCTATGTCTCCTAACTTACACTCTACCTACAAATATATATGACTCGATGTGCCCAATAGAGCAGGCATCTCGCCACTCGTAGCGAGGACGGGATGTCTGAACAAATGCACCTAAAACTATAAAAAAAGAAGCAAAAGGTATGTTACTACACCACCAATATCGTGAGTGGAGAATGGATTGTTAATAATGAAGATTAGTAGTTCTATTGCTAGCAGTACACCCTGTCAGGTCGACCGCTACGTGGTTCCCCTTGGAAACCATCGTGAACAATTCTTGTTGAATTCGTCACGATGAGCTAACTGACCTGCTTCATCCTCACCTATCATCTTTCACTGGTGCCTCGCCGTTGTATACCGATAGCGCGGGTGGGGTTACCATTCCAATATCACTCATAAAAAAAAACAAACACACTTTAACATTTATAATATTCGTATTAGTAAAGATTAGTATAGGTATCCGTCTTAGATATTTCAAAATTGGAAATCTTTTAATTACTATATTTTTGTATCAATAATTCCCTTTATGAAAATAGACTACTAAGATATTATGTATTATTTATTTATGTATCAATGTTTTATGTATGTGAGGTATTTTATAAAATTAGGGTATGATGAGGCTGACATATCCTTGTAGGATAAAATCCTCTAAAAAAAAAGATAAAAAAAATTTGACTCTGTGAATTTTATTAATAGGTACGTAATAACCGAATAAATAGTTATAAGTTAATACATATAACAATAGATGCAACAGCGGCGTGACTTATATGTACGTATGTATTACATAAAACCTGCATCTATATTTTCCTTGCATGACAGAATCCGAAATAAAGATATCCGCAAAAGAACCAAAGTGAACGACATATCCCGAAGGATAAACAAGCTGAACTGGCAATGGGCTGGTCACATAACTCAAAGAAGCGACAGCCGATGGGCAAGTAGAATCCTTGAGTGACGAACCCGTACGGGCAAACGCAATGTAGAGCAACCTCCTACCAGACGGAGTGACGACATCAAATTCATTGCAAAAAAATCAGTGGATGCAGGTGGCTCAGGACCGTTCCTTATGGTGGTCTATGGGAGAGGCCTATATTCAGTAGTGGACGGATAATAATTAATATGTTGATGACGATGATGTAAAATTCCAAGACTTTACATAACGGATGTCATTATAACCTGGTAATTAAATACATCCGTTACTTATTCACATATACATTCTGGTTTAACCATTTACACATATATGTTTACGTCAATCGCAATAGTCAATAAAGAAACAATTAAGACACCAATCACAGTGCGGTGCTAATTAGAATTACACTTACGACATCTTTTACTTCTTACAATCGATACGTAAAATATCTTTATTTAATACGATTTAGCGATCCAGCCCAACTTCCCACGGATAGACCTCTTCCAGTCATACACTCTTGACAGAGTGGTCGTGGTTTTCATGATTATAGTGGATTGTCGATGAAGCTCTTTTTCGCGATTAAGGTCCTCGCAATGTGTCTCCATCTATTCCGCTTATAGCCGAGCGAAAGTATTCCACAGTATGGAAATATATATGTGTAATATAGTGTAAAGCGATAAATCTGTTAATTGTAATTCTTAATGATATTTTCTCGACGACGTCGCGGCTAAAAATTAGTATTATAAATGTCATATTTATTAGCATTGATCAACACCTAATACTTGCATGCGCAATGTCTACGAAAAATTCCATTTGTCTTGTTTTACCGCAAATGTATTCGTCTAACGTCTACTTATTTACAATTATGTAATGTTAAATAAACTGGATTGTTGAATAAATAAGATCTTACCTAAAATCTATATCTATCTTGTACCTAGAAAATTGTAACTGAATTATGTTTATAACACGGGGCACATTTAAGAAGAATTATATTAAAAGTCTTTAACCCTTAAAAGCCTGATTTTTTAATCAAATTAAAAAATATATAAGTATATCCTTTACTGTGTCCACTAATGGGGAAAAATAGTAAAAAAATCAAAATGATATTTTTATATATTTATTTTGAAAAAAAAATATTTGGTTTCATTTTTGATACTTTAGGCATTACGGTATTTAAAATATTTAAATTTATTTAACAATGAAACAATGCAAACCCCGGTATCAAATTTGAAACTTCAAGCATTTAAGGGTTAAAAGAGCAATAGAAGCCAAAACAGTATTCGGAATTTTGTCCGTCCGTCTGTTTATCTGTCGATCTGTATATTTGTCCCGGTATTACGCTAGAACTACTACACTAAAATAGATGCGGTTTCCTCAGTTGTGTCTAACTTGAAATCTAGTATATGTTTTATCTTGATTGGAGTGGTTAATTTATTTTCTTTTCCTATTTCTAAAATCTACACGTCCTAAGTAGCGGACACAACGTATTGGAAATCTATTTAAGAGAATAAGAAGCCAAAACCATATTCGGAATTTTGTCGATCTGTCTTTCAATATTTAAATAAAATCAAATATTCGTCATCATATTAGCCTTTAACTGTCCACTTCTGAACATAAACCTCCTCTTGGAGGGTTTTGCCAGTAGTTGTCATACTTGGCAAGCGTATTGGCAACCGCAATTAAGTTTTAGAGATGTTTTAAGAGGGACGTTGCTGCCCATCCCTCGCCCTCCCTTACTCATCTCTTACGACGCCCATGGGATAGGAAGGGGTGTTCTATTCTATGCCGGGACCACATATCCAATATTACATTGTAAACAATTATATAAACATACTAATACACAAAAAATATATACAAATGAATTGAGAATCTCCGTTTTCCACTTTTTTTATACTCTTTTTTTTTATACAACTTAGAATGACAAACAAGCTGACAGCCCACCTGATGTAAAGTAGTAACCGTCGCCTATAGACATGAGTAGTACCACGGACATAACAGAGTATACTTTTTCGCCCACGATACCCCCCATGCGTTGCCATTCCTGAGGACTCGGGTGTTATTCCTCTGTACCCAGTAAATTTACGCCATATCCCACCCTTCAAACCGAAACACAGCTATGCAAACACAACTGCTTCACGGTTGAAACACGAATGGGACAGAAGTACCCAAGCAATCGACTTTTGTACAAAGTCTCCCTCTGGTATACTACGAAAGTGGTAAACAAAAAACCGTCTGATGGTAAACTGTTACTCTAGACTTTGGTCGCCAACAACACTAGGGTTGTCACACCTAGTGGCAAACAACCGAAATAAACTTAAGGTTTAGATTAAGTCTATGAACGAAATGTGCCTTTCACGAAATTATCAGGAAAATATTTTATACAACTTAGTAACAACAAACTGAGGGCCTACCCAATGGAATGTGGTAAACGTCAACTATACACATAAACTCCACCAAGGGCTTAACAGTTACTGTAAAACAAAATATGATTCGATTGAGTGCAGTTATGTATAATAGCTAGTTAAGACTATTGATACATAGAACATTCATTTGTTTTACAAACTGTGGAACGCAACGAATACGTATGTAATCTAAAAACGTTACAACTTTTACGTTTATTCGACTGCGTCAAATCTAAATCTATTTTATTATCAATCGGATTTGCTTCCGTGACAATTGTTGTTGTTTTATTGTCAATATTGCATCGTAATCAGGGTAGAAACAGACGGAAATCGTATTAAGTCCCAAAGTAGGTTATACCTATATCTACCCGTTATTGAACAACTGATCGAAAATTCAAAACAAAGATTATATAGACAGTTACTTGATCACGTGAATCGTTCTTAATTGATACACGCTCAAATGAGAATATTTTAATTATACAATTATAAACAGACAAGAACTCTCGACTATCTAGCCAGCTCGTCTATTAAAAAAAATATACTATTAGGGAGGTACACACATTCAAACGGACCAATCAAAATACATTAAACGATCACGTTATATAAATTATATCTATTATCTGACCCCAACGAAACCACGCATTAGTTTGTTAAATGTTATTTACATTCATTAACGACTGATCTGACCTGCGCATGGGCATCGTATATAGTGATATCGCTGTGACAATTTCTTCATATCGCATTCAGCGCTCTCAGTGTACGGACGTGTCAGTTCTGTGATCTGTGAAACAAAATGTATACTAATCCGTTTGAAAGGAAGCACTCGTCGCTAAGACAAACATTGGATCGGATTATAGTGGAGACGAGGCAGAGCATCAAGAAGAAAATCAACCTGACGAAGAACAAAACTAGCGGTAGCACGTCTTCCATGTCTTCGACCTCAAGTTTTGAGTTCAAGATGAAATACAACCAGAAAAGATGAAGTTTTTAACAGCAATCAGGATACCATTCATAGGAATTGATTGTTCCACTCTCGGAAAAGGTTAGTTGTGATTTGTGTATTATTTTATTTTTAATTTAGAGAAACATAATACGTTAAGAATAGGAAGGCACGAGGTGGCCATGTGGGTGACAGTTATTCTGTAATGTTCATAGACTAATTCATATTACCATTTTCGACGGTTACCATTTTCTATTAGTTAACTAAAAATATAAAAGAAATATTTTTAATAATATTGTAAATGAGAAAGTAAGTTTGATTATGTGTTCGTTTATTATATCTTGGTGCCTTAACGGCTCAAACAATCATCATGAAATTTGAATGGAGAAATGGAAGGCTACTTTTTATCCGGGTCAATTATTATATCCAACTAACATGATGAAGTCGAAGTCAAAATAATAAAACTAGTACGTAAGCTGTTATAGAAAATACTGTTTAATTCAACAATTCGAAATGCTCACCGTTCCAACCAAAATTTTTTGTCCAATATCCAATTTGTACTTACTATTATTACATACGATTGAGGTTGTAATTGTTACAAGTTTATCAAAAATATCATTTTTATTGAATACATTTGAGACTGTTTTCATATCATCTAGCTTATTATTTAGTTATCGCAAATAATCATATAATTTTATTTAAAATCCGTTGATTAGTATCTAAATAGTCACCTTCACGAATGCGATAACAAATTTATAAGTTTTCATTATTATTTGATGCCAATAAGTAGGTACCTATAATGATAAGTTACAAGGGCTTCAACACTGTATCTATATGAAATATATTCAATCAAAAGATACAACATAAATGATCTAAAACAAAATTGAAATACTATTTATATTTTGTTTTGAATTCTTCTATTTCTAAATTTAAAATCTCCTGAATAGAACTAAGTAAGTGATTATCTCTGTGACTCGACTATATCCTATGAAAAGTCTGAGCTGAATATAAATAAATAAATTCATACTTAGATAACTTATATTTCTATAAATAAATATATTTTCGACTGATTTGGAATTTAAGACACTTAGAACCATCATATATTACTGTTACAACTTCAAAAAAAAAGCTCATAAATTTTTATTCACAAAAGTGATAATGATCACAATGGATTCTCTATAAAATATGTCTATAGCATTTTTACTTCTTTGATGTTTAAAGACGGCTATCGTACTTTAACACTACTTTATAAGAACCCTAAAAAAGGAGGATAAGACGTTAGAAAATTTTACTGAAGTAGTTTTTACACATGATCGCTCGGATAAAAAGTAGCTTATCGTCTCGTCTCCATTTCAAATAACACGTGTAGGTATATTATATTACGTGGCGTTTGGTTGGGCTATATAATGAGACTCTTAGAATAATGTAAAATTGTTTAATTTTATTTGCAATTCAGACTTCGTTAATCATGCAATATAAATCCTTTTAATATACCGTTAATAATAAAGTCAACAAAATCCTTGTATCAATTTTTATAATGAACAAATAACTCAATATTAATAAGTTTGTTGTTGAAGTATCATTCAATTCATCTTCTTGAAATTGTACCTTCTGTATTTGGGTTAAAAAGATCGTTTCGAATCTAAGTATATAGAAAATAAATATTTTATACATATATATATATATATATATATATATATATATATATATAAATCATCAGGCGAACCGTATGCTGAATGTACGTCTGAGATAAATATAAAAGTAGCCTTATTAGAATAAATTTCATTAAAAGGCAGAACTCCTTGTAACATTCTGCAAAAAATTCAGAAAAAAATTAAATGAGTTCTTAAAATTTCATCTGTGCATTGATCAAACAGTCTATTACATTATACATATATAACAATATAAATATTTTGTTGACAAAATATATACTTTTTAAAACACTGGCATTTGATGTACAAATTTCAAACAGACATTATGATCTATTTACAAATAAAATGCATGTCTCTATACAAACCGACCGACCTTAGACGCGTCGGAATTAGGAAGGAACTAGGAACTGTCAAGTCAAAACCCGTTTCTATCTTATTTGACCGAATAAACAAGGCCCAAGTAACTATAAATATCTCACCAAACAAGTTTATCATCGAAAATAATGTTACAATGTTTTGTCCACAGATCGAGTGTTATTAATTAATCGGCAGTGACGTCAAACGAACCGGTATTGGAGCACACTGCGGCATTAGGAAATTAAAAACATAATCAAATACACATTTTGTTGGACCTCTAATGATTTGTTTCATTTGTTGACCTAAAATATTACAATGTTTACAGTCAATACTTACTTATACAAGTCACGATAATTAAGTACACATAATCTATTTTTTATATACTTAACACTATTACTTAGCTAACAATCTTGGCAAGTCTTATTTTTTAATTAGTCATTTAAAAATAACTTTATTATTTATATTTTTATTTATAAAAATTTACAATCATTATACCTAATTTATTCCCTAATTATACCAAATATATAAAAAAACAGATTACAAACAAGTTACAACTGGATTTTAAGTATACATTATACTAGAGTAAATCCAATTATTACAAAAAAGGAATAAACTTGAATAAAAACCATATAAATAAAGGAATAGTGTAGAATTGTCGAAGATAATACAGCGTAACATACACGCAAATATTAACTACATTCTAATTAAGAAAATTTCTTTTAAAGTTTGTTGCAAATTACCAAACGTAAAACATCTCATTGACTCGACGGAATATTTTTCTTAGTCCTATAAAAATATATCGAATAAGAGAAGGGAATTATGCTTGATTGAAAAAAATATTCAAGATACATATTTTTCTGATTGAACTAAAAATATTTTGATATCATATTATAAACGCAATTTAATATGTCATACAGATTTTATTACATAGAAAAATAGAGAAATGTATGTCATGTCTATAAGTCAACGGGATATTTAGTATGTTAGTATTTCTTTATATATTTATTATATATTACATTTATTAATTATTATATATTAATATTTTAGGATTGTAGTATTAGTAAAATACTAATAATTAAAAAGAATATGTTTGAAACTCAATTACAGTTACACTTAAACAACTTAATTTAAATTAAATTCGATATCCAGATGATAAAACACGAATTAAATCATATCTTAAATTAATACATAGAATTATCGTAATTCTTACAAATAATGGAAGAGTAACATTTAATAATTGTATTCATAGAGTTATTTTACTCTCTCTCTCTCTCTCTCTCTCTCTCTCTCTCTCTCTCTCTTTCTCTCTCTCTCTAAACATTAACTTTTACATCTTGTATATTTGTCAAGAATCTTACAAATAATCTCTGCAACAATGTATAGCTATTACAGTTCCGTTTTAATCTCCTTAACCCCAAAAAGCGACCAAGAGACTAAAATATTAGGATGATCAAATAAATAGTTGCAGAAATAAAAAGTAGTAAAGATATCAGATAAATAATAAATTACTTCACAAACAAACGCAAATAACCATGTAGGTTATTGAAGTAAATTATGTCACAATAACGATAATATTATGCCGATGTAATATAATTTGTTTCAATAATAATCCTACTTTTATGTTGAGAAAAAAATTGTAAGATCCTATTCAAAGTATTTGATGTTCTTTTGTGTTCCTTTATACTAAGTTACCAATACTCATGAATGAAAATTAACCGATATATCTGTTGCTAAGCGTAAAATTCGAGAACCGCTAAACAAAATTCGTTTTTTTTTTTTGTTTAATAATCATTAAAATTCGAGAAAGGTACTTATGAAGAGATGAAGCACGGAAAACCTCTTATTGTTTCTACTTGTAGCTGCCATTTTAAATATTTCAATACCTTTTGAGGGTACGACGACTGTTGGGTCTACATGTTTTTAATAAATAATGACTTTAAATTAATTTAATAAAATAAAACCTTTCTAATCAGTACAGATAGAGATTAATTAAAAACTTCCTTTATTTTTAACTAATTTAACCATATAACTGCCCTTTTCGGGTTTACCCAACAAAAGATGTCCTACCAATAACCTCTGTATCGAAATTATCTGATACAGAACCTGTGTTTGTATATTTTTTTTTTTACCATTTTATCAACTGTCTATTACATTTACATAATAATAAGAGAGAATATTGATCAAAAGTTTTTGATAAGTGCTTTAATACTACTAGTCATAGCTAGTTACAAATATTTACAAATTAAGTACAATATCACATTGCCGATTTAAATAGATCGCTGAGAGCTTGGCAACTGCTTTAAAACCAAGCTGTCAAAAGGTTTAATAACATTTGAAACTTCTGCAAGATAAACATGTAAGTCTCTTCGCCAAACGATAGCCTTAACTGGTCGTTATTTTATACCTTATTATTATTCATTAAACGTGAGAAATTTAAAAAGTTTCGATTATATGAATATTACTACCATACAGAATTAGTCTCAAAAAGTAATTTGCATATTTTATTTTTATCAAAATGTGAAAATATTTTTTCAACCTCTCGTATAAATTGATCTCGTAACCGCATGACTTGCAGGAAAATTACTAAAATTCCTTTTATATACAAAATTTGTTCCTTGGTAAAAATTGTTCAGTTTTATGAATACAGTAATAGTAGGGCATCGACTTGATACTTCTTTTACAACTAACTCTGTGTAATCTAATTTAGTCAAAGTAAAAAGATATTTAAATCGTGTATACCTTGTTCATACAAAGTGAAATTGGAGTTGTTTTAAGAGAGTAAGTACTAATGAAACTCAAATATCGAGTTAGTATGGGATGGGAGACTCAAAAGTTCTTGTCATTTTTCGACATTTTTCTTTATCTATTCATTTTTTTTTTTTTATAAAAAATATTCAGTTTCACTGACAGAACTACGTATTTAAAAGGGCATTGATACTTTGATATTGTATAATGTAAATAAAAAAGGGGACATTTTACAGCATGATTTCAGAAATAAGTAAACCAATAAAATAGATAACTTCTAAATGGCGTATCAAGATAAAACTAACATCAGTTTTTAAGTTAAACCTCCAGAAACAAACTGTGGAAACCACATTAATTAATTTAGTGCGATATTGATTGCATAATACTGGAGCAAATATACAGACAGACTGACTGACAAAATTTCTAAAAATTATTTTTTTTGCATCTATTTTTGTTATTAAGACCTCTCATAAATATATATATATATATATATATATATATATATATATATATATATATATATATATGTTACATTACAAATTACAATTTTATAATATTAATAAGGCATTAAGAAGGTATATTAGGGTCAATTTAAAGATACATATTCCAGTCATCCAATTTTTATCATTATATCCAATACATTTTTAAATTTTCGCATGCAATAGTCACATACACCGGGTGAAATTGGACAGACGAAACAGTCAGTCCCTGAAACAATAAATATTTATTGAAGTTTTAACAATCGCATTGCCAAAGGCTGATCCCGAAATTGTATAATATACAAAGTGTAAATAAAATATTACTACGTCAGACGAGGCTCATAACTTTGTCTGTATAAATTTTTCCATATCTACCAATAATTTAATATATAAAATTAAATGGCGTTAGTAAATTTAAATATCTATAACACATCATACATATCTACAGTTATAAAGTTGTTTAACAGTAAGAATGTAATCTAATAATATAATTAATATGAATGGATGTATGTTTGTTACTCTTTCACGCAAAAACTACTTAATGGATTTGAATAAAATTTGATACAAGGGTAAGTTATATTCTAAATTAGCACATAGGGTACTTTATATGCTAATTTACGTAGGTGAAACTGCGATATATAACTAGTAAAAAGATATTTAGTAAATAACAGTGCATAAAAAAAAACAAATAGAATAAAAGAAAACATTAAGTATGTATGTCAAAGGGTCTTTGATAAGACTATAGCGATCACAAGATATACTGTGCCGATCTGCTTTGCCAACCTAGAGTACTAAAATTACCTAAAAGAATACATAATAAGATTTGCATTTTTATGCAACTTGCAAAGGCATAAAAATGCAAATCTTACTGACAATCCACAAATAGGAAAGAGATAACTACGCCAAAAATTGTACGACAGGCTTCACAAAGTAAATACACTGTGACAGCCGGGGTATTCGCTTCAGTATCATAAGACTGTTATGCCCCCTCGCTAGTATAGCTGGCAGAAACACTAGTAACACAAAAGTTCCCATATAGACGATTTATTATGCATTACCCCAATGCCCAATGGCGGCCACATTGTTCTACTTAAATGAGGTCTCAGATTCGATTCCTTGTTGAGTCAATTTAGAAAATATACATTTCTAAATAGCATATTGTGATGTTCTAGGATTACCTGGTACCTCATAACAAAGCTAAAATAGCTTAAAGTTCAGACAATGTATAGGTATGTTGCTACTTTACAACAATAATAGGTAAGTTATCTGTCCAGACAAGTCGCTAAAAACTCTCCACTAATTAAAGAATTAATTATACTGATAATGTATTTAATAGATAAAGTGATTATGATAAATAATAATAATAGTTAACACATATAATATAGATTATTATAAATACAGACATCAGTCATAAGATATAATTGATATTGATAAAGGTATTTTTAATTAAAATTTAAACTGTGGAATCTTTTTTTTAATAACTACCTTTTTTTCTTCCTATGTGCACTGGATAAAATTTATTTTGTATAAAAAATTTTTCGCTGTTACATTTTTTCGGCACTTATTGTTCAGTAGAACAGTTCAGTTCAGGTATTCATTCGACAATATAATTTTGAATAATTACAATTTAAACGTCTTTGGCGCAGTATTTTAAGCTTTCCTATAATCTGTATATTGTCTCTTGAACCATTTTCAGCTTAATATATGTACTATAAAATTATATCACAATCGATTGTATTACCATAAAACATCAATATACAAATTGATAACAGAGAAAAATTTGAATAATCTTTGTTTGTTGTTTTCATTTTAGTGTCACATATAATAGGTATACTAAGTGTATCCTATGGATTCTTACATAAAAGAAAATTAAATTGAATTTACAGCATATAGGGTGTCATGGGCGAAACAGAATACTCTGTTATATCCATGGTACTGCTCATGTCCATAGACGACGGTTACCACTTTCTATCTGGTGGGCCGTCAGCTTGTTTGCCATTCTAAGTTGCATAAAAAAAAAGAAAAAGTACATAAAGTGTCCTCCTGTGTGTTAAGCG